CAGTATGCGGATTATTCGGCAATACAAAGAAACAGGCTTGGATATCATCCAACTGGCTTCAAAGTTTGGAGATTTTTAACGCCACTTTCTAAGTTGACAGTTATTCCTACTTCGCAGAGGATGGATTTTCAAGATACCAGTAACATTAGCTAATAGGCTTGCTCTCAATTGGATTCTTTTAGGAGTATCTAAAGAACTCCAATTAAGCTGCAGCGAAGATCCTCTTAATAGAGCTGGAGAAGTCCATTGCAGATCCTCTTGATTCCTTAATGATTATTTTTGCACATATAATCCCTAAAGGAAAATTATGATCCAAGAATTGTCTTCAGTGTTTGGTTGTCAGCTTTGACAAAATTTTTCATAAAGATCCAATCTGAATGCTTAATAACAGTTAGCGTAATTCCTAGTTCCTGGTTATCAGTATACACTATAGTTGAAGACCTACATTACTAAGAAACAACAATGATGATTTGCAAAGCACAGAGAGTTACCTATGTGAACGGGTCTGTTCAACCATCTTTTTCCTCACCTGAAAGTGGTCAAGACAAAAGGAAATATAGTGTTGAGAAAGAAAAGATAGCAAATTACTCTGAGAATGAGAAATCGGATATGATAGAAAGAGAAATCAAAGTTAGTTTACAAGTTCCTCCAAGTCTGTTGGAATCTAGAATATATTGTTTCAAGTCCAGTTAAAATTTTCTAGCTGTCATTTTTTATCTTGTAACAAAATATGAGTCCTTTTTGGTTGAAGTGCGAATTTCCAAATAAACTTCATGAAATTCTTGATTCGTTCTAAATGTAGCCATTATCTGTCTACTTTAGTCATGAACAGTTACAAGCAAATATCCAAAACATCTGCAACATTAAGTGCCATAAGGGCTTGCTGGTATTTGTAAATTATAGAAAGTTATAAATTGGAAAATGTTGCAAGAAATCTTACAAGGATTCATGTGTAAAACAATGAATGCAGACCTTCAGAGACAACTTTATTGGCTTTCCACGTGTCATTACTCGCAACTGTACTATTCATGTGAAATTTAGAATAGAAAATAAAAAATTGCTTGAATCTTACTTGACTTCACCTTGGGGTCCCTTAAGGCTTCTATCGTTCTCCTCTTGATTCGCATGCGAGTCTCTAAATCAGATTAAAACTCCTAAGTCAACCAACCTTCATGGGACTTAAATAACTCAACATATTCAAAAGAATAATACCTTCACTATGTTTCTTGCCTTTGTTCCAGGGCACCTTCCCTTTGTTAGCTAGTCCTATCTTTTTTCTTCTTTGTTCTTCCTTGTAATATGCATCACTAACAACTCCACAAGACTCAGAGAAGTCATTTTCAGCCTCATCGTATGAAGATTGCTTCTCAGAAGTATTAGCACCAACTGTTGGCAGGTGGCACTTGCAAGGACCGGATGTTTCTCTCATATTAGCAGTGGTTCCCAAGATTCCAATAGAGCCCAGTCGCAAGGAAGCAACTAATGCAAACAAAGGAGATATTTTCTTCACACCAAATTCTTGGTAACTCCATTGTGGGATATTCAGTGGACCATAAGAGTATTCTGGCCCTCCAAGAAATGGCCAACTAGGGGAGTCTGGAATGTGGCTGGGAAGCAGATGCGGAACAGGCAATTTCCTGTTAAACGGTTAAACATTAAGCACGTTGTAGATTAGCTCATTTCTAGTAATTGCACTACTATAGTAATAATTGTTGCTTGAAGGCAAGAGTGTTAAGAACAAAATTTGCAAGAGAAGTCAGAATCTGAGAGAGGATAATTCACTTGAGTTCAATATATATATATATATATTTTTTCTAAGACTATCAGCCTGCATTAACCCTACATGGACACAAGTATCCAAAACATACAAAATGATTTCATAAACTTGAGTTTCACATCTAACGGTATGTCGCTGATTTGTATGCAATTCAGCAACATATCATATTTTAAAATGAATTGTATGCAATTCAGCCCATCGTCATTCTCAAATTAATAGCTTCTTTCCTCAATCAGATAATGCTATCAGACTTCGAAAGGAATCACATACATATTATAGCATCCTCCCTTAAAAAAAAACTAAACACGACGCGAAACCGGAATCCAAAACAATCATTTAATAGGGCACGGAGAGTGGTATAAACGAAATGAAGAACGGCCGATTACAGAGAGAGAGAGAGAGAAACTTACGAGAGCAAGTACGGCATTGCGGAGGGAATGACAGGCTTTTGAAACCAAATGCAAAAAGCAGAAGGGCAGAAAGATTTTTCAAGCGAGGTAAGAATTATCTTCAACCCAGATAAAATCTACAGGGGGGGATGACCTAACTGAAGCCGAGTAATTTACAGAAACGAATATCGGCCAGATATTGAGGATTGCTTAGCTTATGAGCATGACGTGTGCCGCGTCATTCTTTTGTTGACGTGGACGATTTATTATAATTATTATTTAATTATAAAGTCTTAATGCATAGTTAGAAACCATTTTATCTCTTTAAACCATTTAATTAAACATAATCCAAGTTTTAAATGATGATTAATGTGGATAATTATTTTTAAATAAAATTAAAATAAAAATAATATGAATATTTAACTATAAACTTTTAGCCCACGGGCCCAATCGTCGGTCCATGGGCCGAGAGCAACAAGCCCACCACCAGCGCGCCCTATAAATAGAAAGCCACCAAGTAACGCTGATCACGTGTATCACATCTCTTAACCACCCTCGCCTTACTCAAAAGTCCCTGGCGACACCAGCTAGGGTTAGGGTTAGGGTTTTGTTCCCCTCTTAAATAACAGAATCAATCTTCACTTTTCCTCACCTCAATTTTCTACCATGGATCTAGCCAAGAAGCGAAAGCTCGACGAAAACGGCGTCGGATCTTATAACGATGGCGATTCCTCTCCCAATCTCCTCACCCCGCAAGACGCTCGGAAGGTCATCGAGCGTTTGTCCACCGACCAACTCCTGGATATTCTGCAGGATGCTGTCGTGCGTCACTCTGATGTTCTAGAAGCTGTTCGATCTGTAGCTGATGCTGACCCTGCTCAGCGCAAGCTTTTTATCCGCGGTCTTGGCTGGGACACCACTACCGATAATCTGCGGGCGCTCTTTTCGGCGTACGGAGAACTCGAGGAGGCCGTCGTTATTCTCGATAAGACTACCGGAAAGTCCAAGGGCTATGGATTCGTTACTTTCAAGCATGTAGACGGTGCTCTCCTCGCCTTGAAGGAGCCGTCCAAGAAGATCGACGGGCGCGTTACTGTTACACAGCTTGCAGCCGCCGGAAACACGGGGTCCAATTCGAATGCTCCTGACGTGTCATTAAGGAAGATCTATGTAGCCAACGTACCTTTTGATATGCCGGCTGATAAGCTACTTAGCCACTTCTTGTCGTACGGTGAGATCGAGGAGGGACCATTGGGTTTTGATAAGCAGACGGGTAAGTCGAGGGGATTTGCGCTGTTCGTATATAAGACTGCGGAAGGTGCGCAGGCGGCTCTGGTTGATCCAGTCAAGACGTTAGATGGCAGGCAGCTGCAGTGCAAGCTTGCTATCGATGGAAAGAAAGGGAAACCCGGTGGGCCGACAGGTCAGGATGGGACGGTTCAGGCGGGTGGGCCGGGTGTTGGAGGAGCTGGACACGTCCATGGAGATGGAATGGGTATGGCGCATCCTCCTGGTTCCTATGGTGGTCCTGGAGGCCCCGGTGGGTTAGGAAATTATGGTGGGTTTTCAGGTGGCCCGCCCCCCCTGGGGCACATGAACTCGTCGCTGGGTGGACAAGCACCGTCTTCCTTAGGTGCTGCTGGTAGTGCAGGTGGATATGGGGGCGCCGTGATTGGTGGACCATATGGTGGTTATAGTGGACCAGGTTCTACAGGCTATGGCGGGCTTGGTGTTGCTGGTGTTGCCGCTGGTGCTGGTGGTGGGTTGGCTGCTGCTGCTAGTGGATTGTACAGGATGCCCCCTAGCTCGATGCCTGGTGGGTATCCGGATAGCGGGCACTATAGTTTGTCCTCAGCTACTGCATTTCCAGGTCAGCATCACCAAGCAACAGGAACTTCGCCTGTACCAAGGGTTCCTCCCGGTGGAATGTACCCAAATATGCCGCCTTATTACTGAGGTATTCATAATTGTTTCTTGTGTTCTGCACTTAACTTTGTTGGATTTGATGAGGTGCTATCTAGTTGATTTCATGTTATGTACCTTGCTTCATTTGATGTTTTATGCTTGTGGGAACTTATGAGTTTGGGCCTGTTGATTGTTATTGTCTTCAATGTTCTGTTATCTTGTGGTTGATGGTTTCTGATGTTTGCATTTTCTTTTTGTTATCAGCTTTATTTATTTATTTATTTTTTGTATTTCGGTGTTGCATCTCAGACTTTTTATTTGGGTTCATGGTATTTAAGAGGAAGGTATTAGAGGAAGGTATCTAAGAGTTGAGACCATTAACCCTTTTTGTAGCCAAATGCTTTTTTTTAGAATGCTTCTGCCTCATTTCCTTGGTGTGTGAGTTTGTGTAATTCTGATGTTTGTTTACTCATATACAGATTGTAGATGTTGGCATTATTTTTATGCATGGAAAATTAAAACTTCTTTGCTTTGTGTATCCGCTTGGATTTTGTTTCTCTTAATGTTTTGTTTGTTGAAGTAGCCAATTTTTTTTTTCGGAAAATAAAAATATGCTTACTTTTGTCTTTTACTGATGAGACTTCTGAACATGCAGCCCTGTTCTCTTCAGAAAACAGTTGTAACTTTGCTCCCAAGTAAATAGTCTACTAAAGCATTTTAAGTTGTCTTCTATACTGTTGTATGCATAAAGATGATTTTTTCCCCGTTGATTTTACTGTAATGGGGGCATGCTTCTGGATTTATGGTTATGTTTGTGGATGAACTTTGATGGCAAGTAATGTTGTAGTAGTTGATTGTTAGAAGCTTTTACCTTCTTCAGTTGGAATGTTTAGGCTATTCAAGTTTTTATTACTTTTGTGGCCTGAAATTTTAGTGATTGGTTGTGATTCTACTTCATTATGTCTTAATTTTTGATGCTGTTCAAAATGCTTATGGCTATTCTTGCTTCTCTCTTGCTGCCTTCTATGCCTGCTTGACTGGTATATTTTGTTTCTGGGTCTTGTTTTAAAATTCTTCTGGTGCCATTTCCATTCTTCCATTTGTTTCAATGTCTTTAATTGTTCCTATTGATGGTACTTCAAAAGAGTGTAATACTTCTCCTCTTTTATTGTGCTTACTGTTATAACTAAAGTTTATGCTTTGGCTGATAATGTGAAATGATGGATTGAGTTGTGGATGGGCCTTTGATTCAGGTTTGTGACAGCTTGTTGGGAGCAGATGCTTTTTGTGGTTCTGGTGATTGCCTGATTGCAGACTATATAAACTCTGCCTTGATGAATATATTAGCTGTGCTTTTTCGGCATCTTCTTCTCTTGATCTGCTCCTTTAGGATGTGCGTCAATTCTGAGTGCTGGTTGTTGAAATGACTGTTAGATAGTCCTTGTACTTTTTAAGTGGCAGTTGTTTATTCAGTGACCTGATATAGTTTTAATAATATTATTAGTACTGACATTATTTCTTGCTTTGAGCTGCAACTGTGAATGTTTCTTGTTACTTTTTTTTATTCTCCAGTTTCTTTTGTATCTATCAAATATACATATATGTATGGATATTTACTTAAATTAGGTAAGATGGCAGCAAAATCTGGAGCTACAATAATTTTTTTTTTTTCAATTTTCTTGAAGAAAATTGGATTACACAATAATCAGATAGCTTGGCTGGGCCATTTTGGGGGATGTGGTGGGGTGGGGTTAGGGAAGGGAATTCCAAAGTTATTTTTAATTCGCTAGCAAATCTTATACAACTTCTCACCATTCTCACTGAAAGATGCGGTCAGATGTCCGGTGGCCTGCTTTTGTTTGGTCATACCCAACGTTAATGTCTTCTGTGCAACTTTCTTTCAATTTAAATGGATTGTTTGGTGGCTTTTGGTTGATAGGCTTATCTTGCCGGTGGGTCTGTTGGATATTGCTTATGATATTTCCAATGGAATTGTTGTCGGGTTGTAATTTTGCTGGCTCTTGGGGTGAAGATGTAGGTGCTTCAGGGAAGCTAATCCAAATATTAAGAGAATGAATTGGTAATTAAACCGTGGCCTATTTTGAGTTGTTTAAAATTTGAGTGTTGATGGAGCAAGTTTCTTGTGATGCTTCCTGTTTCCTTTGCTGGATTGAATTTTGTTGGTTTTGTAATGAGCTTTTATTGGGTTGAACGATAAGAGTGATGATCTCTAATTTGAGTCTTTCTGTGTCCAATTATAGGTATTTGTTTTTTTTTTAAAACATAATTTATTCCGTATGTTCTTCCTGCCTCTTGTGGTGCAAGAACTAGCCATTATACTAAATAACTAATTGAGTGAGCGTCTGAGGTGGCTGTAACATGTGTTGTGAGTTCTAAAAGTGCTGTTAAAATAGTGTTCACTAAAAAATGCTTTTAGTCAAAAGGTTTTTTGGTGTTTGGTAAAAATAGTTGTAGAAAAGTATTGCTGTTTTAAAAAGCAAAAGATGTATGTTTGGTGGAAATGGTTTTTAAGATTTCAAGTGTAAATTTTTAATAAAAGTCAGAATTAGTTTCTAAAAGTTACATGTTGTATCTTTTGTGTCTAGACTTAGTAAAAATAGATATTTGGTTTATGTTTGGACAAAAGCACATTGAATTTTACCTATATAGTTGCAAAAGTGTTTTTAAATACAAAATCCATTAGTACAGATTGTCACACTTCAGTTGCAAAATCCATTACTACAAATCCGTTGGTGCAACGGCGCATATCTTCCTTTAATATAGATCCAGTGTGATCTGTATTCGTCCCTGTTTCTTTGCATACAATGTCAGTACAGCTTATTAATGCAAAACACATCAGCTTTCCGTTCTCTTTTTCATCGTTTTTTTGAGATTATATTTTCATATTCGACCACTATTTATATGATGGCAAAACATCTGAATCTGTGTTTTCATGCTTATGTGGCTTATAGAACCTTGAGAGATACTATGTGGATTGTATCATGAGATGAATGAAGTTGTTTTATTTAAAGCTGATACCTGCAAGGAGCATTTAAGAAACAATATCTTATTGATTGACAGATAAGAGTTTGCATATGGTTAATGCCTTAGAAAATTTCTCCAGTTGCAAGTCTTGTTCATCTTATGCTATGGTTGTGTTTTCTGGTTTAGTTGAGCTGAAGTTGGTTTTATGGATCTGTAAGTCGTAGCCTATAGTGTATGCCATCAATCCTGTAAACACTTTTTGTTTCCCTAAGGGTAAATTAGGTTATTATTAGTCCTAAGATTATCGGTGACTGCTAGGAAGGTGCTAGTTTGGAATGAAGAATCTTTATTCCAAGATTGTATATCAATGGTGTTTGAGAATTATATTTGTTGACTATCCTAGAGTTCCTGGAATAACAAGATATTGTTCTCTAACTGGTAAAAAAAGCTTCCTGTTCTGGTTTTTTTTTAACCTTTGATTTTTCGGGTCGTTTTTCTGTCATGTGCCCCTGAGAAAAATCGGACGGAGGCCCCCAGGACAGATGAGATGGATAGTTGATTTCTTTGACTGGAGCTAATAGATGCTGTGTCAACAGCCTGCTTTCGGCACGAATTGTCTTGCGATCCAGAATATCCCAAAAGTTAAAAAGCCTACAGGTTCATCACTTCTGTCCATTTTCCACGAATTGGAGATTCGCCTGTTCTCCGAATTAAGTTATATCGCCATTTTGACAGTTTGCAGGCTGAGGAATTCCCAGAGGAAATAAGATTTTGCAATTTACTGTCAGCATTTCGATTTTGTGAGAGGCATTCATTATTTCTTCTTCCATTTTTTTTTTTAAAAAAAAAAACAAATTTGATCGCAGAGAAGGAAAGTGAGTATTTTCAGTTGGCTTATTTTTACAAGATTCTAGATTTTATATATATATATATATATATATATATATATATTCTCTTTAAAATTATGAGAGCTTAGTAATCGTTCTTCTGTTTTAGTGTTGTAATTGTATGAGCAAGACATTTTTTATGAACTGTTGGACAGTCCAAATTCTTTGGAAATATGTCCGTTCTACTGTTTTTATTATTATTACTATTTTAATTTTTGGGTTATTTAACACGTAATTTGGATTACGATTTATACATCCCAATATGTAATTAAATTAAATTTGTAATAATAAAATTATACTTTTACATATTAAAAAATAATTAGAAAAATATTCAACATAATTAGATTCGTATATTTTTTTAAAAATATTTAATTTAAATTGAAGAGAGCAACTGTTTTAAATATAATTAAAATAAAAAATTTATCGAGTGCCAATTCTTTTTAAGAATAATTTAATATTTTCATGCTAATTATTATTATTATTTTGAGGACAGTAAATATTCAATTAAGGCTGTTTGTATATATTATATATATATATATATATATTTTAGTCAAACCCTAATTATAACACATTTTATTTTCTTTGTTTTTTGAGGTAAAATTATCAGAGTAGAATTCCCTCAGAAGCCGAAGTCTACAGGAGGGAGGAAGGAAGAAAGATAGAAACGGAACGAGTTTCTCGCTTGTAAAACGTCGCCGTTCTTATCGCCTTCAAAATATGAATTTATCTTCTAATCGCTGTTCGTTTCTCCCAAAACCCTCTCTCTCTCTCTCTCTCTCTTTAATTTCTTTTTAATTTCTGGTTACGCCAAAAACCCTCTCAATGTTCCTCCACCCACCACACAGAAAAACCAAGGTATGGGAAAGTGAAGGTCCACGACGATACTCTCCTCCACCACCGGGCTCCGGCTGACTTCAGCTTCCGGTTCACTTTTCTTTCTTTATCTTTCTTTTTTCTAAAGCTTTCTGTCTCAATCTTCTATGATTGATCATAGTTGCTTACTCTTCAAGCTAAACTTGGTAATTTCATCGTTTTCAATTCTCACTCTCTTTATCTATATCTATATATATATATATATATACACCTATACAAGTATGCAATTTTTAGGATGCGGATCGTTTTATTCGTTTGGCTCTTATGCAAGATGCTTTGTAGTGAAATTTTAAACCATTTTCTCATCCTCGTCTAACCTTGTCAATTTGGGTTTGACCCTATCATCGGTTTTGGTTTTTAAGTTTATATTTTTAATTTGTTCATGGTTTTGAAAAGGCGGTCAATTTAGTTTTATAACTTGTTGAATTTGGGTGATCACCTTGGACTAAGATGACAGTTCTTGTTGATTTTTCCAAAAATTTTTTATAGGTTGATCATTTCTCTTTTGGGACTAGCATCTTTACTATTTACAGTGTATCGATCACGATGATATTACGGATGTTAGAATTGCTCTGTATCTCTTGATTGTTGCAGGTTAAGGTGATAATACTTGGGGGCGGGGGGGGAGATAGTGCTGTGACTGTTATATCCTCCCCGGCTGTGGAGGTTTCTTGGAAAATTTGTTCCGCCAATCTTACAGTGGCTGTTATGGATCTAAAATCCAAGAGTATGGCGTGGGTTGGGAACATTTACCAGAAGTTGGAGACAATAGGATATGATATGGATGAAATTATGAATCAGAGCCAGGTATTGTTTTTATGTTTGATAAACACTACACATATTTCCTTTCCCATGTAAAAGTGCAGTTCCTGCGAACCTGATTCTGCAGCTATGCCTGGGAGCTCCTTGGTTACTTTGTCACAACTTTTTCACTGCTTTCATGTACAGGATAGAGTCAAGTATGTTGAAAACCAGGTGCAGAACATTGGTGAAAGTGTGAAGAGGTTCTATTCTGATGTCGTCCATGATTTACTTCCTCCTTTAGTGGACCCTGTAAAACGAGAAGGTCAAGTGCTGGCCTGCAAGAAAAATGCTGTGGTTGGTACCCATACCAAGTCAACTATGGGCATTGAAAATGATCATGTTGATGCTGTTAATAAGCAACTCCATTTTAAGGTAGGTAAAACTGGTTCTATGGAAAACCATGTGAATCCTTGCGAGGGTGCAGATATTGATATTGGCTCAGGACAAATTGAGGATATTCCAGAAGTTGAGAAACTTGAACAAGTAGAAGAAAATGTGAAAATCGAGATGTCATCTGCAAGTGGGGTAGTGAGTGTAATCTTATCTGTTGAAGAAGGATTTTCTGGAGGCCCATTTCTCAATGACTTGGCAGATTGCAACCATAAAGATGCATGTGGGTCTTTAACCAATGTCTCACCTGCAACTTCAGTTCATGGCACACAAGTTAAATCCTCACAAAATGTGGAAAACCATTGTGGTCACATTTGTGTTTCTGATGTTTCAAATACTATTTCTTTTGAAACAAACTTTTCAGTTGTTTCCAATGAGGATAAGATGGTAGAGACTGAAGTTGATTCCTCCAGAAGTTCTCTGCTAAATTGCCACTGTAAAGATGCCTGTGGATCTGGAACCAATGTTTTACATGCAACTTCAGTTTATGATGCACAGGTTGAGTCCTCAGAAAATGTGGAAAGACATTGTGGTAATGGCTGTGTTTTTGATTCTTATATTACCATTGCTTCTCCTGCAACAGACATTTCGGTTGTCCCCGATGATGGAAAGATGGCAGAGACTGAAGTTGGTTCCTCCAGAAGTTCTCTTCTAGAATGCAATCACAAAGATGCATGTGGGTCTATAACCAATGATTCACCTGTGGCTTCAGTTCATGGCATGCAGGTTGAATCCTCACAAAATGTGGAAAAACATTGTGATCATGACTGTGTTTCTGATGTTTCAAGTACAACTGCTTCTTCTAAAATGAACTTCTCAGTTGTCTCCAATGAGGAAAAGATGGCAGAGGCTGAAGTTGATTCCTCCAGAAGTTCTCTGCTAAATTGCCACCATAAAGATGCATGTGGGTCTGGAACCAATGTTTCACTTGCAACTTCAGTTTATGATACACAGGTTGAATCCTCAGAAAATGTGGAAAGACATTGTGGTAATGGCTGTGTTTCTGATTTTTATATTACCATTGCTTCTACTGCAACAGACATTTCAGTCGTCCCCAATGATGGAAAGATGGCAGAGACTGAAGCTGATTCCTCCAGAAGTTCTCTTCTAGAATGCAACCACAAAGATGCATGTGGGTCTATAACCAATGATTCACCTGCGGCTTCAGTTCATGGCATGCAGGTTGATTCCTCACATAATGTGGAAAAACATTGTGATCATGACTGTGTTTCTGATGTTTCAAGTATAATTGCTTCTTCTAAAATGAGCTTCTCAGTTGTTTCCAATGAGAAAACGATGGCAGAGACTGAAGTTGATTCCTCCAGAAGTTCTCTGCTAAATTGCCACCATAAAGATGCATGTGGGTCTGGAACCAATGGTTCACCTGCAACTTCAATTTGTGGTACAAACTTTGAACCCTCACAAAATGTGAAAAGACATTGTGATAATGACTGTGTTTCTGATGTTTCTATTACCATTGCTTCTCCTGAAACAAACATTTCAGTTGTCTCCAGTGATGGAAAGATGGCAGAGACTGAAGCTGATTCCTCCAGAAGTTCTCTTCTAGATTGCAACCATAAAGATGCATGTGGGTCTATAACCAATGATTCACCTGCGGCTTCAGTTCATGGCACACAGGTTGAACACTCAAAAGATTTGGACGGACATTGTAATGACTGCTTTTCTGATGCTTCTAGCACCATTGCTTCTCCAGGAATAAACATTTCAGTTATCTCTAGTGATGAAAAGGTGGCAGATACTGAAGTTGATTGCTCCAGAAGTTTTTCTCTGGATTGCAACCATAAAGATGCATGTGAATCTGGAACCAATATTTCACTGGTGCCTTCAGTTCATGGCACCCATGTTGAATCCTCACAGAATGTGGACAGACATTGTGATAGTGACTGCTTTTCTGATGGTTCTAAAATGATTGCTTCCCCTGAAACAAACATTTCAGTTGTCTCCAGTAATGAAAAGTTGGCTGAGACTGAAGTTGCTTCCTTGGGAAGTTCTCTTCTAGATTGCAAACATAAAGATGCATGTGAATCTAGAACTAATGTTTCACCTGTAACTTCAGTTAACGGCACACAGGTTGAATCCTCAAAAAATGTGGACAGATATTCTGATAATGCTTCTAGCTCCATTGATTCTCCTGAAACAAAATTTTCAGTTATCTCCTGTGATGAAAATATGGCAGTGATTGAGGTTGATTCATCCAGAAGTTCTCTACTAACAGAGCCATATTATGTTTTTACCAATTCACCAGAAACCTTTCCTGAAAGTACAGAATGTTATCATAACTCAGTTTGCATAAGTGGGGCTGTTCTTGATGGTCCAAGTGCTTTTGCATCTTTCACACTGGTCCCACCCCATGAGAGAAAGGTAGCGGAGATGGTTCCTTCGAGAGATGTCCTATCCTTAAATGCAATTGGTAGGTATTCACCCTCCCTTTATTATGTGATATATTCTTCCAACTCCTTTTTATTCAATTTTAGCAGGAGAAGTCACCGATGAAACTGATCATTGTAATTTTTGTCTGAATGAATCTTCAGGAAATAGTAGTGTTGAGTTGTCACCAGCTCAACTAAAAAGTCCTACGTCTTCATCATGCATTGGTATGTCAGAAAAATGGACCATGTGGAATTGTTTTTCTTTTTTTTCAGTTAGCACTTTATCTCCCTTAACTTAATTTTATGTTTCATTATTGATAGTAATTGCAGTCATGATGATGTTGTACTAGTCCTGACAAAATTTGATTTGACGATTCTAACCATATAAAAAGTTGTTATTCTCTCATCTCCCCCCCCCCCCAAAACCTCTGCCGGTCCCTTCTTTTGTGATGAAATATGATCATTGTCTCTTTAAATTCTTGTCCAGGAATTTGATGAACGTCGTGGATACTTTTCGTTGTATTTCTAATCTTCAAATTAAATTCTTATGAAAACATGAGCAACTTTTTTAGTACCCTTAAGTAATTGCTTGGTTACAAGAGGAGGGAAAAATGAGAAAATGTGAAACATAGTTGATCATATTTTCTATGCCACTATACTTTTATGGCATTGAGTAGTATGTCTTTTTAGAGTCTTTCTATCTAATACACTATTTTGAAAATAATGCATAGGAGCTCCATCCTACTCCAGAAATGATGATGTTGATTATTCTAAGTTGGAAACCATTGAATTGTCTGACAATGTGAACCTGGAGAATGGCTGTGATATAGTGGGTGATAGTTTTCTCTATGCTGTCTCTCGTAGAAGCCAGAAACTCAGATCATTCAAGGTTTCCTTCTCTCGCCCTGTCTCTCTGAGTGTAATTCTTATTTGTTAACATTAAGCACACCGGGGGATCTTTCACAAGGTTTCCTACTTTTAAATACAGTATTTTGAATGAGGTTGCTTGAGTTGATGAATATTAACATTGTACTTGACATGCTTTTTTCTCATTGTATTCACAACTTTTAATTTCTTCTGATCAACTTGACCAATTTATTACTTTTTTAAAATACAAAATATTTTAGAAATGGTGATTACTCTTAGAATACCTGACATATTTAATCAGACCATTAGTTTTTAATGCTATGTTCTCAAATTGACAGGCTTTGCATATTGGTTACTCCAACATGTAAGGTGGTTAACATAACTTTTTCCGATAATTTTTGGTCAACATGACAAAAGAGAGCATTTTTTTGAAGATATTTCTAGCAAAAAAAAATTTAATATCACTTTGAAAAGGATAAATTTATTCTTTCATTTCTTGTTATTCAGTAAATGACATTTGGTTGAAGTTTTTCGGTGCATTTCCTGGAAATGAGCCCATGAGAATCTCAATGCCTTGTCTGAATGCTTTTTTCTCATAGATGATCATCCTAAATCCTTTTCCTTTTCTTTTCTTAGAAAAAGATCCAGGATGCATTTACTTCAAGAAAAAGGCTAGAAAAAGAATACGAGCAACTAGCAATTTGGTTTGGAGATGTTGATATGGGGCCGTGCCAAGATGATTTGCAGAATTGCTTGCCATCAACAGCCACCACAAATTTAGAGACTGGAAATTCACATGGTCATATATGTGACAGTGACACTGAGTGGGAACTCCTATAGGTAAATAAATTGCATCTCTGTGAATAAGTGTAACTGGACTGGTATTCGGCCCCTCTGTTGCTTAATCAGATCAATATATTGAGCTAGATGCTACTCTCTGAATAATGGTCCCAAAGTTCTCATGTCCTCTGATACAGTAATAAAGTAGTTATATCTTAGATCTCAAAAATGTTGGGATATTTCTCTGTCAAATATTATGTATTTCTTGTACATATTTAATTGATTAGTACTAGATTATTTTTCTTTCAGTTTTGAGGTAGAGGACCATTTTGGGCTTTGTAGCATTTTCATTCTTAATGAACAGAATAAAAATTACTACTCCTATTTTCACGTGTCATTGCATGTCTCATGAACTCTCTTCTTGCTTTTCTATTCATGCTGTTCTAAAAGTAGAATTGATTCTTATGACTCTTTAACAAATACGCATACAAGATCTCATTCCATGTATTGGGGACTCCTGGCAAGCACCAATGAATACAATCAGCAAAATGTTTTGGGTCAGATCTCTGTTTCTTTGTCAAGAGTTTGCCTTTTCTTTCCCCGTAAACTGATGTGTGAGCATCCTTTCGGTACTCGGACAATTGGGTGATATTCAAAAACGTGACATTTGTTTTTAGTCCATGCAGTACATCAGAAATTATCTCCATGATTTCAAGATTTGATCCTGTACCCCAGTACGATGAGTCGTGGATAGGGTACATCTCGTTGAAACAATTTTCATCAGTTCCAGGCTTCCACTCCCAGCTCCTACACAAAGGAAATTGGATAGTTATTATTTCTTTGTTGTGTGAAAACGTCAAAATATTGAGTTGGTATAATATCCTGAAACAGTTTTTCGTCTGTTGCTTCTTGTTTTTTGCCCTCTGTGAACTATACTGCAGAAACTTACCACAAATGTGTTGGAGACATGCTCATGAAGAAGACCCTTTGCATCAGAGGGTTGATATTAGAGTCTAACCAATTTGCCCAAGTTCGTAGAGCCAATCTGTATGCAGTGGTGACATTGTACTCTTGGATATTATCAGGTGATCCATATCTGTAAACAAATTCTCATTTTGGTTGTAGCATGTAAAATTATATATTGTAGGTAAGGAAATACTTAGTGGAGAGTAAGGATAGTTTAGCTAGCACTCTCACGTAGCATTGATGATAGGCTTGTGCATCCACCAGACATAGCTCTCAAACACCAAAATATCAACTCCTTGCCAGCTTCTTCCATGTTTAGCAATTGAGTCAAGGTTAACCAGTCTCTTGTGCACCGTATGATTTGTTGCATGATCCGAAATGGATTCTACAATGAAAGGAGCCCAGTAGTACTCTATTGATGCATTATACTCCTGAGTAAAAGAAAAAAAGAATCAGATTGCATGTGGTGTCATATATGCAAATGGAAGAATACAATGAGTTTTTTCTATAATAGTAAACAGTCCAATCTGATTTGAATTAGTACGAAGCAGGATTGTATACCTGAGCTTTAAATATCTTCATGGGAGGAATTCTGTGGAAGGATTTCTTTCCTTCAGGAATCACAGATTGCACCATGCAAACCATTGACTCAAACTGTCCTCTCTGTACTGAATCTCCTATGAACATCAGTCTTTTGTTCCTCAATATGTCCAGTAATTTTAGCGGGTCAAATCTGAGAGATCAAATACATGTACTTTTTTATACCACAAATTCATTCAATCTCCTTTAGTCTGCTGTAGTCAAACAAATGACAAAAGTTGTTCTCAAAGCACTTCAAATGGCCAATACAATACCTTTCGTAGATATACACCAAATTGTCAATGATAGATCGAAATCATGCAAGAGTTTTACTGGGTATCTAAGAAATTGCCAGAAAAATGATAATATATGCACGCACTTATATAGAAATCTACCTGGTCAAATTGCATGAAGTAGGTTGCCATCTCCAATTCTGATAGAAAGAATCAGGCCTCCCATTTTTCTTACAAGTTGTTTGCTTGACCAAATAAGGGCAGCTGCCCTCTGTATAAAGGGGGTATGACTCATTATCCCATACCCATTTTCCTTCGAAACCATTGCAATCATCCTCCATAACATCTTCAACAGAAACGAAGACTGGTTTTCTTTGCCTGTAATCTCCTACACAGTTTCCATACAGCCTAAAAACAATGCTCTGGTTGCTCTTCAAGTTGTCCAAAACTAACCTTGCGATTCCCAGAACAAGAACAGAAGCAAGTGCCACTGGCAAGAGGGATTGAATCCGATGATCGACTAAATTCTTTTGTGTTGTCATTTGGGAATTGATCGGTGATCGGAGTTTGATTCTGTGAGGTGTTTTGTAATTGTTTGGATTGAGATTCAAGCATTAGCAAGAATTACTTCACATGCAACCACCAGTTGGTAAGTTTGTAGTTTAGGTAGTATGTTAGTTTATCAGTGTAGCATCCTTTGTGAAGCTTGTTTGCCATTGTGATGTTGTGATGTGATTGAAATAAACTAAGTAAACCATTCTAGTTGTTATTAAATTAAACATATTTTTCATAATTTTAAATTCTCATAAATTCGAAAATGATATTATAATTTTTTTTATTAATAAATCAAAATTTTTTAAATTACAATATGAATTTTTCAAAATCCGAAAACAGTACTAAAATAGGTTTTTAAAGTTGTTTCACTTTACACGAGCATTTTTATATATACACACACACATAAACACGAAATCAACTTCACGAATATAACGATAATCCACTTTACTATCTCTACTCTATACGTTCACGACGAATATAATTTGTAATAATGCAACAACTTTTGTTTATTTTATCGACATAAACACATATACATTTGATATAATGAGTTTCAAAATACATGAAAAGTCTGTTATGATCTAATTTTTTTACTAAACTTTACGACCTAATTTTTATATAAAAAGAGTAAGTTGAATGACCCGACATGAACAACCTTATAATAAAACATCGTATATATATGATTTTCTATTAAATAAAATGTAAAAAAATAATTTTCTTTCTATTACGTTTTTATGATGAAAAAATATTATTGTTAAATACAATAAAAAAATAATCAAAAACAAATTAATTCACTACTTGCATAAATATATTATATATTTGGGCGAGTGAGATTGCCAACGACATATCTACATATAACGGGATCGTTGAGAGAATGATTAAGATATCTTTAGGTAAAGTCACTCTCGAATGGATTGATAAACGAAAAATTTGTAAACATACAAGTTTATTTTAAACTCGTTTATCGTTCATCAACGATGATAAATTGTCCAACTAGGTTTAGAATAAAATAAACGAACTCCTAATATCATTCTTATTAACGTGAATAAATTTTGTATATTTATATTATTTGAATGAATTACTAAGATTATATAATAATTCATACAAATTGTGGAATTTTTTATATTATATATGATTTCAAGAAAGTTAGATAAAATTAATCACTATGTTTCATCTCTTTCTTCTTCTCCCACTTCCACTGTTGGAAGTTGTTTACTAATTTAGCCGAAGAAGAAAATCACTGCATAAATATCTCATGCTGTAAAATAATCAACCCAGAAGAGAAACGGGGCGGGGCGGAAAGTAGAATCAACAGGAAGATAACTTTCACGTATCAAATCTTCAACAACAACAGATACCCACCTTCTCCTCTGCAATTCAAACACCGACAAGGTGCGACAATGGCAACTGGGGCATGTGGAATCCGCGCATGCTGCTTGCAACTGCAACGGCACAGACCCTTCCTCGCGTCGTTCGCTAGTCGCAGGAGATTCTGTGCCAACACCACTTGCTCTGTCTCTGTCAACGGTAAGAAAAAGAATGAGAAGGAGAAGGTGATTGTGATATCAGGGCCAACTGGGGCAGGCAAAAGCAGACTTGCATTGGAACTGGCAAAGCGACTCAACGGTGAAATCATTAGTGCCGACTCTGTTCAGGTCAGTGTAGTTAGCTTTTGTTTGGTTGTCTGTCGTACGTTTGGTGGTTCTTGTACTTTTTCAGTCTGTTTCGCTGATGGGAAAATGGAAGGGAAATATAGTGAGTTTGGGGCCTTTCCCTAAGGATTTAAACAATTGAAGTTTTGTTCTTTGGTTTCCGAGGAATGAGGAAATGGGATGTAGGAAGGAAATTTACTGCTCGAGTGTCTGCTTTGATTGGTATTAGTTGGGTTGATTGCTAGGAAAAGAAATACTTGGAATCAACTAAACCTAGGCCTAGCTTTATTTGAGGTAAGGTGTATGCTGAAAATCAATATATATATAATGATAATGATATTGGGATCTTATTTTTCAGAATTTATCATTGGAGTGGTCGAG